CACACACACACACACACACACACACACACACACCGCGCGCGCACACACACACATTCTCAGAGGTGCATATTGTCTCAGTGGGCAATGCGCACGTCATTTCCATGAGCTTGGCTGGGCCATCGAGGAACAGGTAGCCCTGAAACAACGAAAGCTGCTTTGCCAACTGACCTCGATGTTGTCTGCTCCGAAAGTTTGCTCGGCCTGCTCTTCGGACATTCCAATGCAACCATACTCCAGCGGTGTGAAGACGGTTGTGGGGACCTGCAAGGTGTAAGATGTGGACAGGGATGCAATCATGCCAACATACAATCGCCCACATGAGACAATGGGAAAGAGAGAGAGAGAGAGAGGAGGGGAAGGGACCGAGGGGTACGAGGTGGGGATGCAGAGAGAGGGGAGGAGAGAGATGGACAACTAGATAACATTGCACATAAAACCCTGTTGGATTTCCTTCCACTCTGTGTCATATCATGTACGTCTACCATCTCAACTGCGGCCTCAGCCCCGAACAACCACAGCATTTTTGTTTTCCCTTTTTCTCCCTGTAGCCACACAGGACTGCGCGAAAGAATCCTTCATTACTGCATCAACATGTGTTTCGCTGCAGAAATGTTTTGCTGCAGAAAGAGAGCAGGCGCAGCAAACCATTCGCTGGAACTAATCAGTTGCTGCACCCAATGGTTCTCTGACAAAATACAATACTTTTTGCTGCATCCACCTCTCTCTCTCTCTCTCTCTCTCTCTCTCTCTCTCTCTCTCTCAGAGTTCACACACACACACACACACACACACAAATGCACCCCCTGTACACCCAGTACTGCGCCTACACAAACCCCAAGTGTGGGAGGGCTACATGGGCTGTACAGCCCTATCACACACTCCTGCACGCATAGTCACACCCCGCTGTACACACTGTGCCACACCACCTGTACAGGCCTGTCAAACTCCCCTTGCACAGTACACGGCTGTACATGGGATGTACACACTTGTCACACCTGCCCCCCTTTACACACACCATCACCTTTCCATACAGCATGCTAATTCCCACACAGCTGGTGACCTTGTCACAGTCACATCCCGCCAAATGTCCCATTGCGTCGGACCGGGGAACCTTCACGTGCATACATGCTTCAGTCCTGGGTGCCCTGTGTACTCCCTGTACACTTATTGTTCCCCTTTCCCCCCCTCTCCTCTTCCCCCCCCCCCCCCCACCTCTTCCCCACCTCTTCCCCACCTCTTTCCCACCTCCTCCCCCCTTCCCCCCTCCACAAACGCTGATACATGTGCAGGTGGCAATACTGTTTCCTTCTTTTTTAAGTTTTTTTCAAGTTCGTTTTTTTTTTTTTTTTTTTTTTTTTTTTTTTTTTTTTTTTTGGAATGCTGTTTGCGTTACTCTATTGTGAATGCGGAGAGCATTGAGGACTGCTATGTTCAGTGACACAATTGGCAAAATCAGGAGTGAGACGGTCAGCCAAAAGGAGGTAGCAAAGGTCAGCAAAAGATCGATCATATGCATCAAGCACGTGTCATTGGGACTACGACAAGGAGATGAGATCATTGAGTCGGCGGCCATGCAATCCACTGTTCTCTCTCTATGTCATCCAGTTTCTTTCCGCAGAAAAAAAAACAAAAAAAAAACAGTTGATAAAGAGAGAAGAAATAGAAGATAGCTTAGATAAGCAAAATAAATGGGATAAGATGGCAGAGAGAGCAGCAAAATAAATGGGATAAGATGATAGAGAGAGCAGCAAAATAAATTGGATAAGTTTGGATAAGATGAAGTTTGGATAAGTTTGGATAAGAAATAAGTTTGGATAAGATAAAGTTTGGATAAGTTTGGATATGATCAAGTTTGGATAAGTTTGGATAAGATAAAGTGCAATACTGAGTGCAGTACCAACCAAGGCCAGCAGGGTGAGCTTGGTTGTCCAGGCGGGCAGGGGCCGGGGAAGGTCCCTGGGAGTAAAAATAAATTCCAAAAAATCCGGAATAAAAACTATGTTGTGCAGAAAAATAAACTGGACAACTTCTGCCTTGGGGATCACATCGAAAACTCTTTGCCAAATTAAAAATAAAAATTATACATAAAATATTAAAAATAAAATTTCTTTTTCTTTTCCTTTTAATTCATTTTTGGCCCGACCCGGCAAGTGGTCCCCGGCCACTCTGGCAACATAGGTCTAATATCTGTTCCGATCAGTTAAGTCTTTAAGATTAAAAACAAAAAAAGGAGATGAAAGAGAGAACAGCGCTAGAAGACAAAGATTAAAAAGGCATGGCAGCAGCAGCAGGGCGTACACGGATCAGCAATAGAAGATGAGAGAGAGAGAGAGAGAGAGAGAGAGAGAGAGAGAGAGAGAGAGAGAGCTGTCTCTTATACACATCTAGATGTGTATAAGAGACAGGAGTAATAGGAGAGAGGAGCAATAAGGGAAGATTCGAGAGAGAAGTGTAAAACATATTGCTAGAGTTCGAACCAGATTGTAATCCATTGGCATGTTGCTGTTCCCGTAAAGGCGTCTAGCGAGCAAGATTCCCGCTTTGATTGCCACGGGTGTGAGCTCTTGCCTCCCTTCAAGAACATCTCCCACAGCAAAGATATGATCCACATTCGTCTGGGACACAAGCACCAGCAACACAACCAACCAACATTGTGTCGTCGTCATCATCATCGTCATCGTATGAAGGAGAGCATTAGATTCGTCTTGAGCACCATTAGATTTGTTTATAGCGCTGGTTCATCACCGTGGCTTCAATTCATCGTCATATATGTTTTTACTCCCCCCCACTGCAGAATCATTCTCAATGCATTTGGAGCTGGTAATGCACCCGATGCATTCTTTTTTTTTTCGATCAGTCCGAATTGTCTCTGGTCCAATTACAATCCAGATACATGTACAGCGTTGTCATCGTGTGAAAGACAGGATTATATTCGTCTTTAGCACATTTTGATTTGTCTATAGCACCATTAGATTCGTCCTATAGCACAAGAATCAACAACGCATCCATTCATCGTCATATATGCTTTCACTCGCTCCAGTGCAGAACATTGTCAATGTATTTGGAGCTGGGAATGCTCTAGATGCATTCATTTTTTTTTTCTCGATCCGTCCAAAAGACTGAAATTCTGAATGTATGTGGTCTAATTAAAATCCACATACATGTACAATGTCGAGTAGTGGAGCAACGCCCCATGACAACTAAAACTGGATCATGAGATGTAATTTGTCAGGTATTATGACCCTTGGGAGTCCTTCACACACGAATGAGAAACAACGAAAAAACTGCGATTCTGAGTATCAGACCGTAATTAAGGTCTGATACATCCCGATAATTTGCATGACGACTATCCAAGGCAACCTAACTAACTCTTTGGTTACATAGATCACAATGTCATCATGCAAATTATCGGGATGTATCAGACCTCAATTCTGGTAACATTCAGATGATTCAGTTGAAAAAGTCCTAGTGTATGGGATGCATAGCTCAGGGAACTGTTGGAAAGAAAAGATAAGGGCTGTGTCTGCTACTGGCTGAATGACACACATACACAGAGCTGCAAATCCTCTCTCTCTCTCTCTCTCTCTCTCTCTCTCTCTCTCTCTCTCTGTGTGTGTGTGTGTGTGTGTGTGTGTGTGTGTGTGTGTGTGTGTGTGTG